AAAATGAACCACTTGCCAACCACGCTATAGCTGAATCACAACTACAGTGCGGTTGTCCAGTTCTGGGAGGGTGTTATATGATGTCCTCCCAGAACGCGCCCTCCTGCATGCCCCCAGCGCTGTGTCCTACGGAAATAGCTGATCACATAATGAGGTAAAAGGCCAATCACAGCGGCCTTTTACCACATGATCAGCTGTGTCCAATGACACAGATCACCGGTACATACAGTTGCTGGTTATCGGCTCTACTTTCCTCACGCTGTTACAGCGTGAGGAAAGTACTGCCGATAACCGGCAAGTGTCACAGAGGACAACTGCACTGATGATCAGTTCCCACAAGTGTCTCCCGCCAGTGCCACCTGTCAGTGCCCATCATTTCTGCATATCAGTGCCTCATCAATGCCCACTAGTGCCACCTCATCGATGCCCATCAGTGCTACCTATCCAGTGAAGCCTCATCAATGCACATCAGTTAAGGAGAAAAATTACCTGTCTACATAATTTTATAATAGAAGCAAAGAAAAACTTTTTTTTTTTTTGCTCTTTCTGTTGAGAGTGCAAAAAAATAAAACCCCCAGTGACGATTAAACACCACCAAAAGAAAGCTCTGAAAAAAAGAATAGTGAAAAAAAAAAAGATTTTTCATATGGGTAAAATGTTGCATGACCGCGCAATTGTCATTCAAAGTGTGAGCGCTGAAAACTGAAAATTGGCCTGGGCAGGAAGGGGGTGAAAGTGTCCGGTGTGCAAGGGGTTAAAAACGCAGCTCTGGTTGGATTACCTTCAGTGGTACCCGCAGTAAGCCCTCTCCACTGCTAGATGGCGCTGCCCTGTGGAGTTGAATCAGCATGACTGGGCCAGAGCAAGCATAGTTCTTACCCCTCTAGGTGGTCTTACTGGACATCCTACTGGGATCGGTTCCTCCCCATAGTATCCAGATACAAAAGGCCACACTCCCCCCATTTCCTTGGTATCCAACAAGCTTTATTGCAAGCTTATCAAGCTAGACTGTGACATCACCCACCGCCAGGACCTCTCCTACATAATGACATGCTCCTCCCCAAAAAGGGCTTAATCATTGGGCTGGATTAGGAATTCAGGCCCTTGTGTTTTTCCAATCCCTCCGGTGTGTGTTAATGCATGTGTGTTGTGTTAAGGCAGCCCCATTCAGAAAGAATCCTAAAAAAAGGATTTTTAGCAATGCACTGCACCATAACACTTGTACGTGCTTTGCACTCTACTGTACAGTGCAATAAAAGTTTCTGTCCAATGCTATGCATTGCTATTATTGTTCCACAGCATGTTAACATCTAGTGGTAGATTACTGCCATAGGAACTATTTACTTTAGCACTGGTATGGTCCTTCTGTTTGCATCTTCTGTTTAGTGCTAGGTGGTACAGTCCCAGTTAGTCTCTCCCCTTTTCTAGTCTTCATCAGGCACTACACTGTAAGGATCATGGAGTTTATACACTTCAATAGACTGGAAATACATCCTTTGTGATGTACTCTAAAGCTGGACATACATCATTCAGCCAGTAAGCTGGACAAAAAAAAAAACAAAAAAAAACCTGGAGCAGATTTCCCCATCCACCTTGAATGAGTGAATTTCCCCATCCACACATTCAAGGTGGATGGGGAAATCCTCCACACTGTGTCTTTGTATTCTGACAGCGAATATTCAGCGCCTCGGACCATTAGCTGCATGTGCTGATCAAGCAGAGATTTTCCAACAAGCATATTCATGAAAGGCCAACCAACAGATTGACTTTTCGCGAATGGGAACTGCCATACATGGATTGAAATTTGTCCCAGTTTTTCCTGAGCTGGATGAATTTTGATCTATGTATGGCCAGCTAAGGAGGTAAAAAGGGTGTTTAATTCAACTCCCATATCATACTGGAGAGTTAAGCAGTTGATCATACTTAAGATCTATGAAGGTATGTGAATGCATAAAGGGGCATCGACTTTACATGAACAGGAATTGCCATACATGGATCGAAAATCAGCCAGTTCAGGAGGAACCGGACAAATTTTGACCCATGTATGGCCAGGTAAGGAAGTACAATTGTGTTGGATTCAGCTCCCATGTCTTATTCGATTTAAGCGGTCTGTGGATTGTGGTGACTATTAAAAAAACAGCCACTCACCTGTCCCACGATCCCGCGTTGCCCCGCCGCAGCCCATTTCACCGGCCGTCCTGTATTTCAGGCGCCGGCATCTTCAGTGTGGGCACTTGGCTGTGACAGTTTGCGGCTTCACAGCCGGGTGCCCACTGTTCATATGCGAGTAGTGCTGCGCTTCCTGAATGGCCCCGTCATCTTCTGGGACCTGTCACATGTCCCACAAGACTTTGTGGAGAGAAAGCAGGATGACAACTTCCGCTTCCGATTGCCTAGGCGATTGCAGCGGAAGCGAGAACAGTTACCTGTCAAATTCGGGTATCCATGTATGGCCAGCTAAGGAAGTACAATTGTGTTGGATTCAGCTCCCATGTCTTATTGGAGAGTTAAGCTATCTGTGGATTGTGGTGAGTCAGCAGGCAACCATATTAAAGATCTATGGAGGTATGTGAACGCATAAAGCGGCATTTGAAACCGAACAGTTACAATGCAATGGCTAGCACTGCAACACGCAGAGCTGTTCTGGTACCCCGCGGGAACCTGCGGGTTTTACCATGCCTTGCTGCAATGCACAAGTGTGACTAGGTCCTCAAAATCATGTGAAGATTCAGCTTACCAAGTGCTCCTGATTCTTCTGCTGGTCTTGTGACTGTTTCAGAAGGGCCTCCTTGGCTTCCTCAGCGGCCAGCCGTTCTCTTGCAAGTCTTTCAGCGTCGTCCTGTGCTCTTCTCCTTTCCTCCTCCAACTCCAGGGCTTTCCGGGTCTGCTCCTCCAACTCTGGGCAATGGGAAACAATCATTTTTCAGATCTGGAGTTTTCATCAAAACTATCCCTGGTGATCCTGCCATGAAGGTCCTTGCTCAGGCCTTCTCCGTAAAGAGTGCCAATGCTTTGTCCCTGTCTCCCAATTGTGCTCCTACACAGGGCTATGGACTTCCTTTGTACTGACTGCACTGAGGGAGTTGAATGCTCCTCCACACCCGGTAGACTGGGATACCTGGTAGACCCAGTGAGTTGCCAATTGTATTTCAATAAAATGGATGGTTTTAATGCTACACTTGATAATGGATGCCCCCTTTCTCACTTACTGTCAAATCACAAACTGGGGGTAAGGGAAAGACCTGTTTGTGTGGCTGAACTGCAGCAGAACAAAAATCAAGTCTCCTCTCCAGCCAGAGCTGTTTGGCCGAGCTGTGTAAATCTCAGAACTGGATCGGCAGAAACCTCATTATAGTCTACTAAGCACAGGGCAACATTTAGCATATTGTCAATAAGAATACAGCATACAGAGGTAACAGACCAAGTGATCAAAGCAGATACCTTCTTGGGCTTTTCTGGTCTGCTCCTCGATCTGTCGTAGCCTCTCCATCAGTTCCTCCTTTTCACGCTCAATCTTCTCCTTCTCTTTCTCGGCAAGTTCCCTCTTCTTCTTCTCATTCTCCAGCAGGGCTCTGGGGAGGAAGGTTGAAACAATAAGAAAGCGATCAGCAATCAATGTAGAGGAGAACTTCCTGGGACCACTGGAAAAGTAGAGATGGATTGAAGGACTTATGTTCCTATTAATTAAGCATGCCACCAGAACTACATATCCCAAGAACAGTTTCCCTACATGATGTGGGTGGGCTCTTGGGAGTGGCAACAGCATTGTTATAATTCTATATATGCATGTGGAGAGGGCCAGGGTTGGGGAGAGTTTTAGAGTCCAACAGACAGAGCCGACAACACTACTTGGGATTTCACTATGGCAGAGGCATGGTGTTGTCAGCACAATAGGAAGTTAGGCGCTCACTAGACTTCTAACAGATCCGCAGGTATTGTTTTTACATTTGTAACTTTTTTGAAGAGAGAAAACATTGGGGAAGGTGCAAGTTTTGGGGATATAGGAGGCCACACGTGCTTGCAATCATCACTCTGCTGAAAATAAGGCTGTTGAAAAATATTCAGTATCTGACGTCTAGATGTCTGGTCCCCATCTGAGCTCTTTAGTGTCTTCTGCCAGCTGATATATCACTACAGAAAACAAGAGCAGCCAGTTGGTCTTGCCACCTCACACTGGGCTGGCCAGGGGTCTTACCACCGTGGGGGACTGACATTCCAAAACAACCAGGTGGTTTTCAGCCATCATTGCACTTCAAGAGCATGGTTTGGTGGTTGAACAGGTCTTTTCTTCATGAAGGCCCCTTTTATTCCCCCCCAGCTTACAGTCTTCAGACAGGGTTGCTTTAATTCTCACATCACATTGTCAGTCCCCCCATGGTGGTAAGGCTCCTGGACCAGACATAAGTATGGTGGTAAGACCAACTGGCCACCCTATTGTTTTCTGTGGTGAAATATCAGCTGGCAGAAGACACCACAGAGCTCAGATGGGGACTGGGTATCTAGAGGTTATCAGATACTGAATATTCATCAACCAGCTTATCTTCAGTTGAGCGAAGATTGGAGGCTTCCCTGTGTTTTATCTCTCTAAAAAAAAGCTACAACCATATGAAGGTACCTGCTGACCTGCTAGAATTCCAGTGAGCTCCTAACTTCCTATTGGGTTGACTATCAAACACAACCAGAAGGATTTCAGCCATCATAGCACTTCAAGAGTGAGGATTAGTGGCTGGACAGGTCTTTTCTCTGTAAAGGCCCCTTTTATCCCCGCCAAGCGTCCAATCTTCAAACAGGGTTACATTACCTCTCACGTCACCTCAAACTAAAAAGGTTTGGACATACGGGATAAACAGATAGGATTCTATTATAGATGGGCACCCAAATCTTTGGAAAAATGGTACAACACCAAGCATGGATTTCCATAGACATCAGCAGTGTACTACAAAACATCCAAAGCTTTCATATCTAGTGGGGTATATGACCTCCTCCCATGATGCACTCCAGGTTTGGCCACCAATCACAAAGCTTGACCACGATGAAAGGGAGGGTGTCATCTCAAGGTTATGGGGATGTTATCATTTCAAGTAATTCTCCACTTTTAAAGTGGACCCTTTTAAGAGACCCCTCCTATTACTGAAGGTCTTTTGTGCAACCATGGATTCTCCAAAATGAGACTCCATGGTTCTGTTTACGTATGTGAGGAAATCAGCACAATTGTTTGTTTAAAGAGGGGAAAATCTTTAAGACTTAATATAGAGGTCTAGTGTGGCATGTGATCTCCTCTCCTTTTGCAGTACAGAGGTTTGGCCACCAACTGATAAGCTTGATCATGACAAAGGGGATTGTGAAATCGCAAGGTCACAACAGGTTCTCCACTTTAAACAAAAAAAGTGGACCACTTTAAGAGACCCCTCTTATTGTTGAAGATCCCTTCTGCAACCAAGGATTTTCAAAAAGGAGACTCCCTGGTTCTGGTCACTTGTGTAAGGAAATTTGCACCACTCTTTGTTTAAAAAGAGAAATACCTTTAAGAATACAGATGTCTAGTGGGGCATGTGATCCCCGCCCTAGTTGCAGTGCCCCTGGTTCTGGTCACTTGTGTAAGGAAATTTGCACCACTCTTTGTTTAAAAAGAGAAATACCTTTAAGAATACAGATGTCTAGTGGGGCATGTGATCCCCGCCCTAGTTGCAGTGCCCAGGTTTGGTCACCAACCACTAAGCTTGACCATGGCAAAGGGTCATCGCAAGGAGACAGGGACCCTATCATTTCAAGCAGCTCTCCACTTTAAACAAAAAAAATGGGTCCCTTTAAGAGACCCCTCTTATTGTTTAAGGGCTTCAACCATAGATTCTTCAAATGAGACCCCATGGTTCTGGTCACTTCTGTGATGAAATCGGTACCACTGTTTGTTTTAAGATTTATTACAGATGTCCAATGGGGCATGTGATCTCCTCCCCTGCTGCAGGGCCGAGGTTTGGCCATCAAGAGCTAAGCTTGACCATGACGAAAGGGATGGTGCCATTTCAAAATGATGGGGATTTTATAATTTCAAGAAGTTCTCCACTTTAAACAAAAAGGTGGACCATTTTAAGAAACCCCTCTTATCACTGAAGGTCTCTTGCGTAACCATGGATTCTCCAAAATGAGACGCCGTGGTTCTGGCCACATATGTGAGGAAATTGGTACCACTCTGTTTAAAGAGAACACTTTTAAAGATTTAATCTAGATTTAGAAACTTCCTGTTACCTCTCCATCTGTTTCTGGTGTTTCTCTTCCCTTGCCTGAGCTTTCATTTGCTGCACTTCAATGGTGTCCGGCTTCCTGCGGCGCATGTACAGCTCATGGTTGCCCATGCACAGCGCCAAGATTCTCTTGTTGATGCGTAATCGGGGAGCGTAGAACACAAAGTCCTGAAACAAAAACATGAGTTATGTCCAAAAGAAGAATTGGACACTGCCAAGGTGAGAACAACATTCGGGGGCGAGCCTCAAAACTCATATTCTGCTCTCTTCAAATCTCAGTCAACTTACTGGCGTAACCACCCATCACATGGAAATAGACAACTTTGAAAAGATACTGCAGACTGACCAAAACATTGAAGAACGTAGAAAGGATGAGCTCCACAAAGCTAACATGAGGATAGTGGAAAAACAGCTCTGGACCAATAGTGTTATCTCAGTAGTATTGCTACTCTAAAGAATTCATGTTGATGTAAATGTTCTGGTTCACGGACAGGCAGCATCTACACACCGGAGGATCTCTCAAGTCTTCATATCTACTAGTGTAATGTAAGAAAAATGTAGATTGAAGCACCACAAGCCTAAGAGGTCCAGAGAGTTTTTCTTTTATTCTTTTTGGTTTCTATTTATGTATTTTTCCTAATACATTCTAAGGTTTAATTTTACTTAGCCATGTGTTTGTGGCTTGTGTTCGTGTGGAACGCGGCAATGATGCTTTGGCTGACCACCCTCTGAGCACTGAGCCATGGCCACACGAGTGGTGTGTATGGCTGGTGCAGGGGGCCACATCCTGTGCTCCATAGGCTCTCCAGGTGGAGAGAAAGGATAGTGATGGGGGGGTATGCCTTCAGTGTCCTCCAGGGGGCTGGCTCCCATGGGGCTATGCAGGGAGTTCGCAGGTGTTCTTTGCCTGGGAAAGGTGTGTTCCGGGGGGCTCTAACTGGGGGAGCGTCGGGCAGTGTGGGCTGGCTGAAACCCAGGCGCCGGGACACTGTTTCTGGTTTCCGTGGCGAACTGATGCCTGGGATTTGTTGAACCCTGTACCAGTTCTACTTTAATGTATACAAGCCATGTCACAAACACTTACTGGTGCCTTCTTGTCGATGGGTTTGATGACAAATTTCTTGTCGTTGAATGAAATGTTTCTTATTTCACTCCATGGGAATCCAATTTTAGGTGTCAATCTGGAAACAGAAGAAAAAAAATGTAAAAAAAAAAAAAAAAAAAAAAAAAAAAAAAAAAAAATGAACCATGTGAACATTTTTGGTTTCCAAGGTAAAAAATAAATAAATAAAATGAACAAGTGACTTAACTGCTTCCCGCCCGCAATGTCCTGTGGCCAGGCGGCAGCTACAGGCAAAGAGACGTACCCATACGTCGCTCTGGCTATACCAACACAGTGGGGCGCTTCCCTCCCAGAATTAAGATTAGGAACCAGTGATCATGTGATCGCTATGTGATCACAATTTAAGCAGAGCTGTTATAAATCAATCTCATTCATAACAGTTCTGCTTCTAGTCCTAGTGAGCTGTGATTGGCCCACAGCTGTCACATGATACACGGGGGTCAATCGCAGCACCCTGCACCATGTGACCAGCTCCAGCAGTTCACTTTCTTGAGCTGTCAAAAACCAGTTCATGAATGAGTTAGGTTCATGACAGCAAGCCTTGCATTGCAGGAGAAATGATCTTTATTTCTCCTGAAACATGTAAAACAAAAAAAAGTCACTATGGTAATCTTGTACTATTCTACTGTTTGATAAAAGTATTAAAAAAAAAAAAAAAAAAAAAAAAAAAAAAAAGCAAAAAAATAAAATTAAAAATACCATATTGAGATTTTTTAAAAACTTGCCAACTGGGCAAGCAGCAGCTCTTGGCAAAGTGACAATCTTGCGTTGCTTCCTGTTTCAGGGTGTGAACGTGCCTGCACCCCCCGGTCGGTCCAGCGAGATAAGTGAACACGGCACAGAGTAATAGCACCACGTTAGATTAGCACATTTAACCCTTTGATCGCCCCTTATTAACCCTTTGATCACCCCATCAGCCAGCCAGTGCTGTTAGTACAGTGTCAGTATTTAAAATTTTTCAGCAATCACTGTATTTCTGCCAATAGCGACATCAAATAACGTCAGGGTCAGTAAGCTCCCCTCCCAGCCAGGGTCAGCTAGCATTGCCCGCACACTATCATACTCCCTCTATAGGTCGCCGATCATCGCCATTACTAGTATAGTGTTTGTACGGATCAATATATTATTCATGAACAGAACTATACTAGTGCCTGAATTTAAAACTCTTTTGGGCCTAACCCTCGACATGGGCATTACAGAAAAAAAATGAATTGTGGTCATGTTGATCTACAGACCCAATTCATTGTATGCTTGTGTTCTCTGCTGTTACATATATGCCCAACATGGACCAGCAATGTTGCTGGACTTTGAGTGGTTATACTGGGTGGATGCCTGCAGCTACAGGCATCATCGTGATATTTTTTTTTTCAGCTGGTGGTCGGCTTTAATGTAAAAGCAATCCTATTGGCCAATTAGGTGCTGAATTGTTTTTACAAGCAGTGAGAAGGGACAATTCCCCCCCCGCCCCATAGTAATACTGTTATTTACCTGTTAATATGTCAATTTTCAATAAAAATATATTGAAACAGAAAATACATGAAATCTGGAAAATATCACACTATGACTACTAGGTGGAGCGAATGATCTTAGGAAATAAACACCCATTTACTATGACTGTCAGCTCCATCTAGTGGCCATAATGTGATAATTTACTGAAGCACAATTTTTTAGGAATAACATTTGATCTGGAGACAGAAAAAAAAAATGTAATCTTACCCCATGAGCACAGACGGAAAAAATAAATAAAAGAAAATTAAAAAATATATATATATAAAGAAAAAGGAAATAAAAGTAATTTTGGTGCAAAACAATTATTTTAAACATGTGAAAATGTTAAAGTGTCACCCTTGACTCCAAATAGAGAAAGAAGAAAAAAGAAAATTGAAGAAAAAAAAATGGTGCACCGAAATGAAAATTCAAGGCCCGAAACTGAAAATTCAGGATGCATTTGGCTGAAAACTGAAATGGACAAATATAAAAAATATATTTGACTTTTTAATTAATATGAATTTAAATGAATTTATTTTTAGCACCTATCAACCAATAGGCTGCTTTCAGACTGAGCAGTTTTTGAAGCACTTTAATGTGCTTGTCGCATTTTTGGTGCTTATTTGGCAAGTAAAAAAAAAAAAAAAAAAAAATGCACCTCCTCATGGAGGCCTGGTTCACACCAATGCTATTTTTAGGGCTTTTTGCAAAAACAGTCTATTTAACATGGACAAGTTCACATCTATGCTTTTTTTGACCTGCTGCATTTTGGAAAGGGTCTGGGAGTTTTTTCCAACACAAAACATTATGATTTTGGTTCAGTAAACGTCAATGGAGATCCTGCAGAAAATGCATGTAGTGTGTTTTCACATGTTTGCCATGTTCTTGATGTGTTTTGTGTTTTTAATCTGCCCAGCAACAAGTTGGCCAAAAAGAAAAAAAAAAAAAAAAAAACACAAAACACATCCTTCAAAAAACGAGTCAAAAACGCGCGTGCAAAAAAGCAAACTGCATTGCTGTGAACCAGGCCAAAAATGCATTGAAACCACATAAAGAATGCACAAGTGTTTTTTGCACTTTGCATTTTTAGTCTGTCCAGCAACAAAAAATTTGCAAAACGCATCACAAAACACTGCAAAAAATGCAAAATGCACTGCAAAAACTGACAAAAAACGCAAATCGCATTGATGTGAACCAGGCCTGAATTGCCTTGAAAACACTGCAAAAACGCATACGTGTTGATGCTTTTTTTAGTCACAAAAAAAAAAAACGCACCGTAAAAGTGGTAATTTCACGGCAAAAATTGCAGGAAAAAAAACACGGCAAATTCGTGTTTTCAGCGGCTATTATCACCACCTTTTTTTTGATCAGCAAAATGCCAATAACACTATTTTCAGTTGATACATTTCGGACGCTGAACAAAGGAATTTAAAAAAAAAAAATTGTAAATGAAAAAGACTACAAGAAAAAGGATAAGAAAATCTAAAAACAAGAAAAAAAAAAAAAAGAAAAGTTCAACATATGTGGAAAAAAAAAAAAGAATATTAAATAAAAGAAAAAGGAAATAAAAAAAAAGTAATTTATATGAAAAAATATACTGATTTTAATGTGTGAAAAATGTTAAAAAAAATCACCTTCGACTCCAAATGAAGAAAGAAAATGGAAAAAGATAAAAAGGAAAACAAAAAAGAAAATAGAAAAAAAAAAAAAAAAAAAAAGAGAGAAAAGGAAGAATAGGAAAAATAGAAAAAAAGAAAAGAAAAAGGAAATTAAAAAGAATAAAAGGTTCTATATGGCCAGGTTTGAAGAGCAGACAAAAAAAAAAAAAAAAAAAAACCTTCTTTGTATCCGGGGGGTTAGAAAAGTTTAATTCCACAGAAGGAAACAATCTAGTAGTAACCTTTGTTTTCTGCTGTGTTACTAATAAATATTGGATTGTGGGAAAATTTGGCAGGAATGTGTGTGCTTGTGTAATAATTACCTGTCATTCTGTTCATAAATATTCAGCCCCAAGGCATCCACTCCAAGCCACAGTTCTGAGCCCTTCTTATTCTTAATGCTAAAGTAGTTCACTCCGTACATCTCCAGGTCCTGAGCGATCTTCAGGTATTCTAAGATTGCATCCTCTCTGCACAACACAACAGTACCCCATTGTTAACACATATTGGACCAAAGAATGGGTCAAAACAAAAACATTGGTATCGAAGACAAAACAAAACTGAGCACGTTGGACGTCCTATCTTATGAATCATTAAAGTGTCTTGGACTCTCTTACCAACACATTTCAGGAGTCAACCTACTGCCCCTTCATCAGGGCTTAAATTATTCTGGGGGCTTAGTTGAACTGAAAATAACGTGAAATCCAACTTGTTTTTCTACCTGGAACATGGCACAGGATTTTGGGTTAAAGTGTTTGTCCAGCTAAAGCCTTTCCTTTTTGAGTTTTGGATGGAGCGGTTGAGGACGAGTTCAGGTTTTTACTGCTTCAAATACACATATCCAAGAGCTCAAACTTCAGAAATGATCAATTCAATGAGGAGGAGAAAATGTAAATGATTCAAACTAGCTCACTGGCTTTGGAAAAGCTGTTGACAGAAAACATGGATTACCTTGGTGGATACCCGAAATGAGAATAAAAGCATAAATACAGGAAAGGAGCACCAAGCCAAGCGGTAGGAGTCCAAGGCGCCTTGATGATTCATAATAGGATGATGTCAAACATTCAACACATTTCGAGAGTCAACGATTTCCCTGGTTACCGGTTACGTTGAGTCCACACAAGCCACAAAATGCTTTGGTAAGAGTCCAAGTTGCTTTAACGATTTGTAATATGATCATCTAGAACATCCAACCTGTTTTGGGGGGGGGGGGGGGTCAACAATCTCTCTGTTCCCTATTACACTGAGTCCACTTAAGCCCTCAACAATCCTGAGCCCTGGAATTGGGACTAGAATTGTTGAGGGCTGAAGGCTCCACTTAAGCCTTTACAGTAGGTCTAAGCCCTAATGGAACAGGGGGGGGGGGGGGGGGTACTGATCCCCAAAGTTCTTTGGAAAGAATCTAAGCATCTTTATATTGGGGGGGGGGTGTCAACAATCTCTCTGTTACCTATTACATCGAGTCCGCTTAAGCCCTCAACAATCCTGTGCCCTGGAATTGTTGAGGGCTTAAGGCTCCACTTACACCTTTATAGTAGGTCTAAGCCCTAATGGAAAGGGGGGGGGGTATTGATCCCCAAAATTCTTTTCAAACAGTCCAAGTTACTTAAGCTCTCCACTATTCCAAGCCCTGATGAAGGGCGAGTGTGTTGATCTCCGAAAGGCAATAGGTAAGAGTCCAAGTTGCTTTATTGCTTTGTAAACTGATCACCTAAAACAGCCAATGCTTTTTGGGGGTCATCAATTCCTTCTGGTTACCTGCTACATTGAGTCCACCTAAGCCTTTATAGAAAGTCCAAGCCCCGAAGGAAAGAACATTAAGTCCCTCCAAATGCATTTGTAAGAGTCCAAGTAAAGATAATGGATTTGTAATATGATCATATAGAACAGCCAATGCATTCTGGGACTCAACCATCTCTCTGGTTACCTGCTACATTGAGTCCACCTAAGCCCTAAAGAAAGATGAGCATCATGACCCCTGAAATGCAT